TTTTTTTTTTTTTTTTTTTGGTTTCCACAGTTCTGTCTAATAGTAAATTGGTTGGAAAAAACACAGCAATTCAACAAAGGTAGAATGTAGACTTCCTAAACAAAATATCACTAAGAATTATGTTGCAATATTGGAAGATAAAAGAGTTTCCCAAACACACAGACCACAAAGTTTAAAGACAACATACAAATTCACTGTTAGCCTTTACTGTTCTTTAAAAAACAAAAGAAAACATGAAAACAAAATAAAGCTCCAAACCTTCTGCCACCAACTATGCTTCAAACCATGTTACCAGTTTATGATAACAGCTCAATATCTTCTTATAAGCCAGGGGTTTTCAACCTTTTTTTAGTAAGTGTACCCCCACTGGCTGGACGCAGGGGGGTGGGGGGAGGGGGGAAGGTGCAACAGCTGGCTGTGGAGCAGCAGCAGCTCAGGGTGGTGGAGGTGACTGCTACGCGAGAGCTCCCCCATGTCCAGCTGGCCGGGCAACCCCTGTGCGGCCCGCAGAAGAGTGCTACTGCCCTCGCCCCGCCCCTGCTCCTGGGAGGCAGTGGCACAGGATGGTGGGTGACAGCGCTCCGTCCCTGCCCACTCACCCGCGCATACCCCCTAGGGCCTTCCCAAGTATCCCCGGTTGACAACCCACATTTTAAACTATATTTCTTGTTCAAATTCTTCCAGGCCAAGAATCTGAGCCTATCTTCAGCCACCCCAATCTAATAGATGAGAATAAATCAGAGATACTTAATAGTTTAATTGGCCTGTCCCTACTACAGGACAATAAGCTTTACATTTTTACTACTTTAATTTTCTTCTAGCACACATTTGAAAAAAACCTACCCTCATCCTTTTTTCGGAGTTGAACCTTTTAAATTAAATTTACTTTACCAGGTTTGTTCCTGCTGTCCTTTGACATTTATGTACCACACACACACACACACACACACACACATTTATTTTTGTCAGGAGAAGTTTATTATACCATTTCTTGTGCAACATCATCAGGAGTTTCCTTCTCCAGATCAAAAGTAAACTCAATGGCTCCATTATCTTTGGGTTTTCCTTTCAGTTTCTTAGGATCTTCTACCCAGAGTCTTAAGGCAATAGAGGATTTCCTACCATGGTCTTCTTCTGCAAGTTCCACTCTTACCCCTGTATCTTCAGCAAAAAAGGCATGGCTTAATAAGTCTTTAATTTCATATCTGCAACAAATGGATATCCAAAAAGAATATTAAATACTGCATACTTTAAACACCTCCAGCTAAACACCTGTGACAAAGAAAGGACACTACACACACAGGATTATTAGCAACAGCAACCCTAGCAAACAGCCATAGGACTCCTGCACTCTTAATAACTCTTATGCATTCACTCAACTGTTCAAAAAAAAGTACGTGGGAGCAAAGATGCAGTTTCTGCCCAAATTACCTTTATATGTGGAGTTTCAAATCAATACAGGTGAGGGGGAATTCCCACTAGGAATGTTCCTCAAGTATCTTTTTGAGAGGAGGGTATCAAGTCCTAAAGGACTCTTTAATCTAGTGGAGACAGGTGCAACAAGATCTAGCTGAAGCTACAAATAAACCATGGTTTCTTTTTCAAAGAATAGTGAGACTAATCAATCACTGAAGCAACTAGAGGGACACAGGACAATCTCCATCATGAGAAGTATTCAAATGACAATGGATGGCATCCTAATAATTTACAATCCAGCATGAGTGACTGGTGCCTCCTGAATCGGGGGGGGGCACCCGCAGAAGCCAACAGCAGCAGTGGTCTTGGCAGGGTTGGTGCTCCCCCTGACAACAGCGTTGGTGCTAGCTGTCAGGGGGGCTGGGGAGCACCGGCCCCATCGGGTGGGGCACGTGCACCCCCTACCAGTCATCTATGTACTCTAGTATAATCCCCAAGTTACTGTGCTTATTGGAAGATTTACTGAGTAAGGTTTTATGTACTATATTACATTGTAATTCAAATCAGAGTTAGATGTTTTATGTCCTCAAAAAGCTCTGAGATTAAAAGTTTGAAACAAACCTTTCTTCTTTATTTTTGCAAATGCACTCCCCAATTATCTCCTTAATTTCAGGATCAGTAACTTTTTCAAAACTTGCTGGCTTGATACCCTAAAGAAAAAAAAAGGAAAACACACAATTTAGACAATGCAATTTAAAACTCCTACAAACTTGCTACATAATTTACTGTGCCATAAAGTCAAAACCCAAGGTAACCACTTCTTTCAGTTTTAAGTGTTTATTGAGTATTTAAAAAGGTATAGAATTTCTGATTAATATTGTAGTTTGAAGTAACCCGATTATAGTTTGTGCATTCCACTCTGCAATTCATCATGAAAAATCCCCCTGGTATTTACTATGAACATTTGACAAACATGCTTTTATACCCACTGTGGACTTTGCAGCCAACATCTAAGGAACAAGAATCTAAATTCTCAAAATGTTTTTAACCCGAGTTGATTCCATTTTAATTTAAGAATTTAAATGATGTATTAACCTCTCAAAGTACTAAATGGCACAAAAATATATATTTTTTCAGGTAGCTAAATTGGCAAGATGGCTCAGAAGCAGACTCCCTCTCTCCAGGCTTGGAAACAAGCCCATAAATTCAATATAGCACTCTGAAAGCTATCCTCAAAAGTCATCTTGATTTGAGAAAAGGGAAGGGAAATAAGAATCTGCTCAAACTTTGCATAGTTGTTCATACATTTTCCACCAGTTAAGGATATATAGCTTTCTGGAGAAAGTTTGCATAGGTATTCAGAGAAGCGGGGGAAATCTGAACTGATGCAATACAAGATACATTAGTATCCAACAGCTTAAATTCTTTCTTTGAATACCTTTCCCTTCTGGATTTAGACCATCTAAACAAAGAAAGCTGCCTTTTAAGAAAAAAATCTGTTCAGCAATGCAGTAAGAAAAAGAGCCAAAGTGATAACCTGCCTCTAAAGTGGAAAGCATAAAATAACAAAACACTCTACTAAGAGAGCTCTGAAAGACAGTATAAATGTAAAAAGATTCTGTAAGTTCCTCAGCCAAGGAGGGGGGTGTGACAAGAAGACAGATAACAGAAAAAAAACCTATGGGTAGTCATAAATCCTCCTCACCTGTTTGCTGATAATTACTGCATGCAGTTCTGGTCCCCACATTTCAAAAAAGATGCAGCAGAATTAGAAAAGGTACAGAGAAGGGCAACCAAAATGATCAGGGGTTTGGAGCAGTTGCCATACCAGGAAAGACTAAAAAGGCTAGGACTCTTCAATTTGGAAAGGAGAAGGCTGAGGAGGACTATGATAAACATTAGGGCTGTGCGAAGCTTCGGCAGCTGATTCAATTTGAAGGAGATTAGGCCTGATTCAGTGGCCGAAATGCTGAATCAAATTGGGAGGACCTTTAAAAGGTCCAAATCAAATCTGAAGCCTCTACAGCTGAATTGGTGCCAAATCCAAATCTGTGCCAAAAATCGAATCAAGGCAGTGATTTGAATTACCAAATCAAATCACTGTCCCAAATCTGAATCTGCCAAATCCAAATCATACACTTCATGCTTCGCACAGGCCCAATAACCATCTATAAAATCATGAAGGGTGTGGACCAAGTGAACAAGGAACTATTATTCACCAAGTTCCAGACTACTAGAATTAAGGGGCACTTGCTGAAGTTAGTAGGTGACAAGTTCAAAACTATCAAGGGATTTTTTTTTTGAATTACAAAACTTAGTTAATTTGTGGAGTTCATTGCCACAGGAAGTGGAGGCAGACAGCATAGCCAGGTTCAAAAAGGGACTGAATAAGTTTATGGATGACAGACCTACTAATGGTTATTGAAGAGAACGACTGAAAATGTTTTTTTCTGGCATCTCTAATGCAATAAATGGTGAGAGTATTGAATACAGATAGATTACTTTAGATCTATCTAGTATGATGCTCACCCTGGCTAGCATCAACTTTACCACTGCGAGAGATAGGATACTGGGCTAGGTGGACCACTGGCCATTGACCCAGTATGGCACTTCTTATGTTCTTATAAAAGGGACCAGCTTCACCAGCCAGTGCAACATAAATGAAATAAGCTCCAGACACTTCATCCAAAAACAATATCCTCTTGCCAGTATTTAGACACTCTTGTATGAAAAAAATCCAAGTCAAAAGTCTGTATACCCATCTTGTGTCTTTCCATCAAGTAATTGCACAATGTAATGCCAGGTGAGAATAATTAGTACAAACACCAGGTAGGCTGCATAAGATAGTCAGCAACCAACTACACAGGCAGGTAACTCTTGATAAAGATGATAGTTAAGCAAACCAAGCACAAGTGAAACCAGGTAAGGATAGGTATTACCACAAGTGACAGCTAAGGAAGCCAGGCCAGCCAACTATTGCCCTTGTCAAAAATCAGGAAAATTGTGGTTAACAGTAGTCCTGTGCAAATAAGGAAGTATTCAGTTCAGACTATTCCGAGGACTATTCCGTGATTCGAATCGCTGTCCCCATCTGATTCGGCTGAATCAGAATTAGAGATTCAGCACCAAATTTGGATGGCCCAGGGAGAGGCAGGCACAGCTGGGTGGCTGCAGGTTCTCCTACAGCTCCTTCGGCTGTGCTTTGCCTCTCCCCGGACAGTGGGGAGCTGAAGGAGAAGCCCCCATGGCTACCCTGCCTGGCCTCATTCCCTGCCTGACCCAGCCTCCCAGCACTTTTAATATAAGAGAGAAAGCCCTGCACACACCAGCTGCAGCAGCGGCAACTGGGGCCTCTGGGCACTCGTGGCAGAGCCCCTCCCCACGCAACATGGGGCAGCAGAGATTGCCCCAACCCAGGCGCAGCAACTCACATGGCGCAGGTGCAGTATGGCTCGGCAGGGCGTTGTGCTGTCTGGAACTAGGGCCACTGGGGCTGAGTGGTGCCAGGTTCCTGCTGACAGGTGGAACCACCCCAGGTCCTGAGACAGTGTGCATTGCCCTGCCAAGCTGCACTGCACCTGTGCCATGGGGCAACTGCCACACAGGTGCCAAGCTGGAGCGGGGTGATTGCTGCTGCCCCCCCCCCCCACTGCATGGGGGGCACCCAGCAGCCCTTATCACTGCTGCCAGAGCTGGTGACTGCTGGGCATTTTTAAGTGCCAGGAGGCTGGGCTGGGTGGGGGATGAGGCCAGGCAGGGCAGCCATGGGGGCTTCTCCCACAGCTCCTCTGGCTATGCCTGCCTCAGCCCTGGTGGGGGGAGCAGGGGGGGCTATGCCCTGCTGCTGCTTGCCCAGCCAGAATGCGGGGTGGGGTGGGGTGGGGGGGTGATGCAGGAGTGGCTCACTCTGGGCAGCAGCAGGGCATAATCCCTACTCCCAGCACTGCTGCACCCCCACCAGCACCGGGAGCAGGGGCTCTGCCCTGTTACCACTTGCCAGCCAGCACAGCAAGCATGGGATGTGGGCAGCTCTGGGAGCAGGGGCTATGCCCTGCTGCCACTTGTGGCCTTCTGCCTGGAGCGAGCCACACCCACATCCTACCTCCCCCCACCCCAGCTGGGCAGGCAGCAGCAGGGAAGAGCCCCCACTCCCAGCACTGCAGGGCCCACATCCTGCACCCCACCACCCCTCTCCCCAAGTCATGCACCCCCTGCTCCAGCTGGGCAGTTTGTTCCAGCCCCAATCTTTCCCTCCCCCACGGCCCTTCCATCTTCCCTGTCCCAACCCCAACAGACTTACCAGCTAGAGGCAGCTGCCAGGTTAGTCTACGGGTGAATCCCCAAATCAACCAAATCTTTTCCAAATCCATTCAGAGCTTTTAATTGCCGACTTTTTAAAGTCAGTCTCCCGATTTGATTCAGATTCAGAGATTCAGTCCCTGAAATCAGGCTGAATCTCCTCCGAATCTAATTGGCTACCAAAGCTTCACACAGCCCTAGTTAACAGGTACTCAGTTTATACCACTGCCAGCTTGTTCCCATTCAGCCCAATAAGAACATTTCTATAAATCACTTTTTCAAGGACAAGATCAGTTACATAACCCCAAAGTTTCTGTAGAAGAAGATATCCTTTCCATTTGTCAAATGAAGCCAAGACAAAATTCTCTCTCTCTATCTCTTGAATGAAAACTGGACAAAACAGGTCTCATGAACAAAGGCTTCTGCATTTAGGTCCCAATTTAGCAAGGTACTTAAGGATATGAATATTTACTTTGATGTCACAGGGGCAAATTCAGTGTAACTTTACAGCTTACCTAAAAAGGAAGCACTAAATGAAGGCCAAGATTCAATGGAAGTTAGGTACTTAACACCATCTCATTTTAAAATTCCACCTTAAAAGAATAATAGCATTGTGCTAGATAAGGAAGTCAGATGACTGGACTTCTGGAAACATCACATGCTACACTGCCTTTTAAATAGGCAGCACACAACTGAAGAAATTCCTGCATTTGATTCTGACAGTCAAACAACTGGGGTACAACCAACATCAGGATGACTTGAAGGACTTGCTCAATATGTGCCTTAAATCCAGTTATCAAATTTCACTGAAGGTTGGACATTTATCTCCTTCAAGTTCTTCCAAACACCCCAGTGCTAAACTTTTCTTATGTTAAAAGTCTGATGCTATGTAGATTTTCTAATTCAGATTGTGATTTGCCTTTCAAGTGAGGTGGAATCTTTCACTTGTGCCTTAAAAGTCAGAAGATTAAGAAAAGTATTTCATGAAAATTGAAGTCACAGAACAGGCATACAAAATAGCAGTCTCCTGAAGTTCTGACCAGGCAGAAGTGACAAAGAATTTTCTGTTCAGGTAGAACAAAAGCACTCCAGAGGGAATCACTTCTTTGATTACAGAAATCTGAATCTTAATATTAGTCTAGAGATATTTGTTCATATTAAAAGGATATGCCAAACTGATACATAATATTATGGTTTGGATCACGGCTCAGGCATTACCCTCTTTAAAAAAGGTTTCACATCTTTGCTAGACTCTCTCGTGAAACTGAGAGATAAAAAAGCATGTAAAATAAATCATTGCCTTTCCTTATTAAAGTAAGGATTTTAATACAAGTCCATCTCTACCCTTTTAAAAAGATGACCTTAAGAATAAACCAATGCAAAATGGCTAACAGATTACTTGCACTCGTAC